TGATAAGCACATAATTCCATCCATGGTTTCTGCTATCATTTTTAAACTAGATCGTCATAAGAGTTGTGGATTTGATGTTATCACTACAATTGTCATAAAGAAATGTGCTGTCATATCTGGCTCATAATCTCTTCAAACTTTAAAATAAATACCTCACTACTTCCTGCTTTTCCACTTGTTGAAAGTCACCCTCTGTAGTTTCTGTTTTTAAGAACTCTGGAGAACCACCTGAATCCTCAAATTATTACCCTATTAGTCTCTTACCTATTTTTCACAAAGTACTAGAGGCTCTAATCAACACGGAATTGGTTAAGCATCTTACTTCTCATGACCTCCTTTTTGATAAATAATATATTTTCTGTTTCTTAAGGTCTACTGCCAATGTGTTTATGGCCATCACTAAAATTGTCTATCAAGCTTTAGATAAGAATGGCAAAGCTCAAGCTGTAGCCCTAGATATTTTAAAGGCATTCAAGAGGATTTGGTATGCTGGCCTTTTTCACAAGCTCAAGGACTACTTTGTCTTTGGATGAATATTTATATTAATCCAATCATTCCTAACAAATCATGTAATAAAGATCATGTGGAATGGATACACGTCTACTTCATTTCATATTAATGCAGGGGCCACTCAGGGTTCTATCCTCAGACATATGTTGTTTCTCAGTTTCTGTCTTCATCAACGAACCTTTTCTGTCTGCCATGGCTGATACTAAACACCAGGAGAGCAATACTTTTTGCCTTCTTAGATTCATGCTTTCCATTGACATGAAGTGGAATGATTATATTGAATCAATTGCTAGGTCCACTGCTAGGAAAGTTGGTTCACTGTGTCATACTTGATTTGTCAGAATCCTTCTTGCACATTTATAAATCTACCATTCATCTATGTATTGAATATTGCTGTCATATCTGGTCTGGTGTACCTAGTATATATCTCAAGATTTTTGACAAAATTCAAAGTACAGTCTGTAATGTAATTAATCCGACATGGCAACTCATCTTACTGTTGAAATAGCTAGATGCAACTGTCAGTTCTATTCTAATAGTTCTTTTTTCTCACCCTTCTCACCTGTGGAATTCTCTTCCGGTTTCTTGCTTCCCTGCCACCTACAATCTTCAAAATTTTAAAGGCAATGTCAATCGCCATTTTCTGTCTTCCTGAATCCTATTCCTTTTTCACTTCTCCTCACTAAAGTTTTCTCATTCATTCCCTATAATCCCCTGCATCCTAAACTACTAATCATTAATTTAGGTATCTCTGTTGGATAAGCTAAAAAAAAAGCATAGCATCAAAGTTTGAAAACAAAATTTTTCGCGTCTAAATGCTTAATTTTTAGGAAAGATCAAAAGTATTTTTTACTTATTTTTTAAATTTTTCCTTCTTTTTTTAGAACATTGTAAATTTTGATTAAAAGACCTTGTTTCTCTTTTTATCAGCTTGGCTGATAAATTAACTTTAAACATTTGGGCGCTTTTTTTTTTTTTTTAGCATAATTTGGAAAATCTTGCAAAAATGAAAATAATTGTCGGATTTTAATGAAAAAACTATTTACAAATGATGGAACTTATTATAAATACATTTTTTAGTAAAGTCATCGCAGAAATTTTTTTTTTTATATGTATTTACCCATCTAACTAATTGTGCAACGAAAACTCTATAATTTCAATTCTAAGGAGTTTAGTGATTATATAATTAAAAAGCACAATGCTTTGAGGAAACAAAATCATGTTTTGTTTTTTTTTAGTTGGAGCCTTCTACCTGAAAATCGTCTCTGAAGTGTAACATACAAAACTCAATAAAACAAAATATTATTTAATTTCAAAGCTTTTTGCTTTTATTTATTCCAATAAACATGGACAATATTGTCTGAAAGCAAAAAAGATATTTCGATGAAAATGAATTTTTAAAACAATTTACAAAAGCAACCATTGTTTTATTTTACATTTATGTTGTTAATTCTTCTAAAATTATGGAAAAGCGCGTACAGCTTAACGGATGTTTTTTTAAGTAGATATATATTTACAGATTATAAAACAAAAAGCTTATTACAAACTAATGAGTCTTCGTATATAAAAAAATTAATTTGTCAATAATGTGTTTACCAATGAAAACGGAAGACCGGAAGTTTGGTGCGTGCAATAAAATAACGTCACGTGGATTGAGTTTCTGTCTTAAGGGTTGTTCTTCGCTGTATACTTAATTTAGCAAACTGTTCCTGCTGAAAAGTGCATCATTTTCATTAAGTTTTACTTTCATCTAGTTTTCATCGTAGTCCTGTAATGTTTGGTTGAAATTGGTTGAAAATGTAGAAATTCGATCCAATAAAATAAAACCAGTTCACATTTTTTTAAAACTTTTCAGTCATTTTGCCAATTTTACTTTTAAATGAAACATATTGTTTGCTTTCAGAAAATACCTAGTTTCATGGGATTCAGATAAACTTTACCTGGTATTTTTCCAGATAAGTAATTTTTATTACATAAAATATAAGAATCCATTTATTTATTTTTCCGAGAATATAGGCTGTGACAAAATGACTTTTACTATGTTTGATTATTTTACTGGGGATAGAATTTTTTTTTAATAGCAAATCTGAATTGACTTTAGAGGGTCTAATGGGCCCTCAAACAGCAATGCAACTTGTATTTTAGTTTTTTTAATAGTATTTATAATTTCTCCAGAGAGTATCAAAAACCTATGGTACATAGTAGTTAACAAAAAAAAAAAAAAAATTTAATGGCGAAAGTTTTTTACTTTAAATATTGCAAGTTTTTTAGTATAAAAAAAATAATATGTCCAAAAATGGGGGAACTCGAATCTCATGTCAATAATTTATAGATGTCATCACTTGGCACTCTTAATCAACAAACGTGAAATCGGCTCTTTTATCTTTAAAAACATTTTCTACGAAAGAAAGTGGCAAAAAGTTTCTTTCAAAATATTTTTTAAATAAACTTTAAATTTTCTAAATTTCTTCGAATAAATATTGAAAAACGTATAATTAATTTTTAAACGAATTTTAAACGAAGAATTTAACTTATTTTTAAAATTTTAAAATATGGCTGATATAGAGCTTTTTTCGTTTTTCTGTAAAACAAGTTTTTTAACTAAAATTTCGGACATGCTAAGAATTAAAAATTTCAAAATTACTCAAAAATACTTTATTGTTTCTTCTCAATAATGAAATATACTTTTATCATGAAAAAAATTTTTTCGTTAAAATATTAGATTTTCGCGAAATAATAGAGGTACCTACATTAATTAGTTTACTTTATATTTTTTATTAATTAATACAAATAAAAAACATCATTAATTAATGTTGTTTTTTAATTGCAAAGTAACTAGAAAGTTAAGTCTCGTCTATTTCAGAATTGAGTTTTACTTTTAAATTTGTTTAATCAGGAAGTGTGTAAGCGAAATCGTTATTTTTAAAGTGATTTACTGTCAGAAATGAAGTAGGAATATTTATCTTAAAAAAAAAAAAAAAAAAGAGTATTAATACTCTTTTTAGATACAAATGAAAAAAAAGTATACTTTTTTTAAACAAAAAATAAAAGAAAGCTAAAAATAAAGTTTTTTTTTTGCTTTGTACTTTTATTTTTGGACCAAGTGGGAAACAAGAAAATCTTAAATTCCTAGCACAGCTTATTTTTCTTTATTTTTAATTCCAAATAAAATAAAAAGAATTCCTACGTTTTTTTGTTTTGTTTTTTTTAGATAAAAATAAAGAAACTTTCGATTCATTCAATGTTGATCTTAAAACAGAATTAATTGTAATGAGAAATAAATACAACTTTACAACAGTATATTTTCTTTACTGGTACGTATTACTTAGTAATTAATAATTACTATTTGTAATACGGGCAAACTATACGATCGTGACAGTTTATTCAAAAAATGTATTTAAGTTCAAAACTAAAAGGAAGAATGTTATTTGTAAATAAATACAGGTACATAGCGAAAGGTTTTTTTTGTTGTTCTAAAAATGAAAAATGAAATTTTCTTTCTTTTCTTAATAGTGATAGTGTCTTATTTTTATACAAATTTTAAAGTGATAAATGAAAATATATGATACAGTAGAATATGTTTTTAACATTGAGTGAGTCATAAAAAGCCCGCCTGAATAATTTATTTAATTTCAAATCCTGAAGAGATTGTGATTAAAGTTTGAATAATAAGAATTACTTATGAGTTGTGTGACTTGTCATTTCCATTCATTCATACATGCATTTACCCGGCCTACGGCTAAGACAGGATGTGACACAAGGTCGTTTTTACGTAGGGAGCGCCATATACATACATCATGCATATGGGCCAAGGACAAAACATTTTGTCCAGTCTCCGCGATCATTGCCATCACTTATTCATTTTTATTCATGCAGGTATTTTTAAGACTGTTAAGTTGAAAATATATACTTTTGTTACACTTCTTAGCCTTTGTAAGTTAACAATACTTCGATCAGCAGTTTTCGATCTTCATCAGGTGGTTTGTATTTGGGGTTTTTTTGTTTCCAGAGCGAGAAAAAAAATCATCTGTTGCATTACTATTTTGTGAGAAAATGTAAATGAACAAGTTAATTAAAGTTTTGAAATTTTAAAAGAACGTGGAAAAAAACCTTAAATCAATTAATGAACATGGAAAAAAAGAAAGTTGATTGATTTTTTTGCTTCGAAGCGAAGAAAAATATGAACAAGACTTAAGATAAAATAAAAAAAAAACTAAGGTGTATTTGTGACTAAAGAAAATCCAGCTTTTATTAAGGTAAAGTAAACCAGATAGAGCATAACAAATTCAGAAATACTTAATTTATTGCAACAACAACAAAAAAACTTCTACAGAGGAAAGATTGACCGAAGTATCTTGGACAATTAATTGAAATGGACGTCAATATGTAAAATTGAGAATGATGTCAAGTTTCGAGCAATTTAGAAGAACTGGGTAAATGAATTGCTGTCTTTTAGAAATGTATTATGATTTATTAAAATGAATTCTGACCTGTGTAAGTCGTTGTCCATAATTACAGCAATGAAAATCCTTACACAGCAGCAAACTCCTCCGAGCTAGAAAACAACTACTCCACACGCTGCAGCCATATTTGTTTACTAAATTTATGGCGAGAGTTGCGCGGGCGAGATCTCGTTTGCTGTCTGCATCCTCCCACCGTGACAATAAGTTAGCTAAAAAAAAAAAAAAAAATATTTCATTTAACAAAAAATATATAATTTTAATCGTTTTATTTTTTAAAATTATAAACTATAAAATTGAAAAATCAACGAAACGAATCTTCTCTCTTTTACAGAAAAGCATTTTTTAGTTTTTCCACCCACTAAATTGTTTCTTTCACTGGTTTAAACCATTATCTCTCTCTCTTTCTCTCTCTCTCTCGTGGGAAATTTGTCCCAGGTGTGGGAAAGCCGGGAGAAATTTTCCCACATGAAAGGGTTAAAAGATTAGAGCAAACAATTCTCTTTTTTAGGCAGAAGAATAAAGAAAGATTCATACTCCTGCTTGGAGTGTAAGAAGAAGAAAATATTTATATTTACATGCACACAAAAAGGTAAAATGATATACACAAAAATGCAAGAGAAATAAAAGGAGAAGAAAATTCTTTTAACTTAAAGGAAGAAAAAAGTTCATAAAGGCATGCTCAAAAAAAATATTTCTCTGAGCACCTAAAAGTTCTTTAAGCAAGTAAATTGTTCTTACGGGGTTCGTTAACACTCACATAGATTTCTTCAGAATTCTTGTTGAGGAGGAAACTGTCAGAGGATCTGAATTTTGTAGTAGAGTGAGTTCGTAGGCCGACAACAGAAATTTCTAGCTGCAAGGAAGCAGATCTTAATTAGTTTTTAGTAGAGGACTGACATTCTGTCTTTAGAGCCCAGCAGGTAGATCTCTTTCTTGAAACAGGTTCCAAAGATGACTGGTATTCTATCACCGATCTGATGTTATCACAGATGATGTCAAATACTCACTTCTGTATTTATCAAGATTAGAAGGCTCAGAAATATTATGGACTTTTCCCTCCAAAATTGCTATACACTTTCCCAGCCCTCTAATTCCTCAATATATTCTTATCCATGATAAGAATCAAATGTTTGAGAGCTGCTTATAGGAAGCAAGGGTCCAATAAGTTGTGAGTGTTATCCCCCCTCCAACTTTATTGCACCATAGTCAAGGCAAGGATGATCAGATTCCTTTTTATATTTTCCAGTTCTCTCATTCTTCAGAAAATATATTCATATCTCTGATAAGGATCAAGGTTTTGGGTGCCGGATTTGAAAGCACAGGAAAAAGTTGGGGTAGAGATCAGAAAAGAGGCTAGAACATGAACTTGTAAAACGTTGTAGTAGTGGTTCTTAAAATAAATTGTAATAATCTATCTATGTCCATATCTATCTATCTATCTATCTATCTATCTATCTATCTATCTATCTCCATGTGATATCTATACACAATTCATCTAAATTTATAAACAATAAAATCAAAATATGTGATCAAAAGTTAATCTTTCTTACTTTTTTCTCAGCATTCTTTCTCATTATTTCCAAATCTCATTTAAACACAATTCCCTGCCCACTTCACACTCTCTTGACATGATACTCAAACTGTTTAGGTGTTCTTGATTCATTGTTGGCCCCAGAAATATTTTAATGACTTCTGAGCTTAGAAAATGACCATTTTCCAGATACAACTTTCACTGGAGTGGTAAGAAAAATTCTAAGAGCAATAAAGAGATTTGGAAATGCTGTACATTTATTGTTGCAAGCAAGAAACTCCAGTATTTTTACAGGATTTTGTAACAGCTCTTATGGGATAATTGGCTTTATTGCTTCAATTTCCCCATAAAACATGAAATCATCACTATCAGCCATTTTCGTTGTTGTGACTCTTCCTGCTGTATGGACTAGTTTGGAATAAGGTCCTTTCTAAATCTGCAGCACATTTTCTTATGATTTCTTTGGACATATCCTGAAAAATGGACAAGAATAAAAAAAATGTTTAGTCAGCTGTTCAAATCAAAGCTTAAAGCTTTGCAAGCCTTTATCCACCACATGATTAAAGTGTAGGGATACAGAAGGTGCTTATCACCCTTTGATGGAGATAAGTCATGTGGGTAATGTGGCATCTGCTTAATGATGTCATTTAATAGAGTGACTAAAGTGGCAGTCAAATTCACTTTGCTTACAGCAACCAAACGGTAGCTTAAAAGTCCATAGCGCCATTTCTCTAGGTGAATATATCTTTCCCAGATATAGAATGAAACTTCAGCTTGCAGTTCTCAATTTGGGGAAACCCAAGACTTGCTGTTTCCCATTCATGGAATATGTCCTTTTCAGAGACATAGATGACTCCAACCCATTTGAATCTGGGGTTGTAAAAATGGCTTCTCTGGGTACAGGAGTATCTCCATATTATATGTAATACCCTTCCTTTTTGTTTCTCCTTACACTGTGCTTTGCTGTGTAGGTATATGTTTTATATTATTCTCTGTGTGGGAAACGTGTATATATGTATATATAGTTTTGTGTATGTCTTAGTATTATAAAAGTCTCTCTGAGAACCAAGCATGTTTATCATTCTTTTTTCCTTTCAGCCATTCTGTTCCGTCCACAAAATATGATGTTATTATATCATGGATATAATAATGCCCATAATGGGAGAAATACAAATGGGAGAATAAATCTTTCTTCCTTAGCTCTCTTCCATTATGAAAGTATTGCACTCTTAAATGTTTCTTTTGGGTCTGACAGAGGTTCATCAGCTTCTTCGTAGTCAAACAATTGCCTCTTCTTATATACATGCTTGTTTTCACTTTAGAATCTGCTTCAATATCCAGGTCTTTAGCAAGTTCCCTGGTTGATTTTTTTCATGACATTCACTGACCCACATAAGCTATGTCTGGGTTCTGTCAGTTACTGAGGATAGGAACAATAGAAGGAAGGAGAGAAAGTATGTGTATAAGGGAAGAGAAAGAGAAAGTTTTCTTTCTTACTCTCATAGTGAAAAGGAAAGTGTATATTTCCATATGGTGTTACTACTACCTACTACACTGCATTTGGAAATCTGGCATCCCAGATATGTTATTGTGTCACAATTTAACATACATTTATCCTTCTTTATGGTCAATCCAGCATTTTTTAATTTCCTCAAGACATAATCTACTTTGTATTTTAGCTCTTCTCTACTGATAGCGCCAATACATATATCGTCTTTATAGATGATCATATTTTTAACATCACCAGTCAGTACATTTTCAATGTGTCTTTGAAAAATAGCACTTGTTTTTACACCATCTGAGTAAGCTTATTGAAGAGTTAATCGTAGTGACCTCTTTAAATTTTTCATCAATTTGTATCTGGTTATAGGTAGATTTCAGGTCAATTTTAGCAAAGCATTTAATTCCTGACAACTCATGAATAGCAGTTTCAATTTTAGGAATAGGGAACAAATCAATGCATATTTTGTGGTTTACTCCTCTTTTGTAATCCTCACATATCCTTAAATCTCCATCTGGCTTTCATAAAACAGCAATAGATATGGCTCAGTTACTACCACCAGAGGGAACATGCTCTAAAATTCCTTGCTCTACCATTGTTTTTAGTTTAGCAATTACTAAAAGTAGTATGTGAATGGGCAGTCTGCAAAATTCAAAGTAAAAAGAATTGACTATTTTCTTTTAATTGAATGCTTGATTTGTATCCTTTTAACATCCTCGTGTCATAACTTTCCAATTTCACATTTCACTACAACATCTATTTCCATGAACCCATGACTTTTTCACATTTTACTACCATGATGGGAATAATTTTGAAGTGTGTGTTGGTCTCAAATGTTCCTTCAAAACAACTTAATATTTTGATGAAAGAGCCATTGAACTGTTCTAATTTAAACCAACTTTTCTTTAATTTGGGTTTGTCCCTTCAATCTCAGAAATTTATTGGGATTAGGATGACATCACTCCCAGTATCTGTTTGCATTGGAAAAGTTATGCCATTCACTTTAATTTTTTATCTGGCACTTTTCTCTTTGTATCATAGATACAGCTGTGTTTTCTTGAGGAGGGTTTACATTTTCTGCCCTTTCTATTTTCCTTTAATGATTGCACACTGATTGGAATGGCTATGACAAACTTTACGACAACTCTCATAGTGAATGGACATGTCTATGTTCAACAATTAGCGTATAGAAGGTCAGTTGTCTTTCTACACAGCACTCACACACCATGATTTATTACTTATGGACAGGTTGCTGTGTGATGACATATTCTGCTTGTTGTTCACTGCAAAACTGTGATGAAATCCAAGGTCGATTGTATGTGTATATACATCTGGGTAGCTATGTTCACAGGTTTGTCTCCTTAGCAGTGATTGAATTCAATGAAGAATAATAACAAATGCTTTTCAAGACACTGATTGAGGAATAGCAACAATTCAATTTCTCACTTAACCATCTATGTTTTTTTTTTTTTTGCTTTGTTGAGGTGGACTGCTATCTTACTAACTTCTGGCCACAGAAAGAGGACCTTTATATTCACTGACCATCTACACGACTGCTGATTCCTGACTGTTGGTCCCTTCTTTACTGGCCACTGGTCACTTATTTAATGACTGCCCCTGAATGACTACAGCTGGGGTCCCACCACCCATATCCATTTGCTCGTGTTCTAGAAAAGGAGACCACCCAACAGCTGGATGTGTGGTTAAATTTTCAAAGGACTCTACTTTTATGATTATCTAAAATTATTAACAAAATTTTATATTTGCCAATTCAAAGGTGGGCTAGAGACAGGAATCCTCAAAACTCTGGCAATTAAATTAACTTAAAAGGAAAAGGTATCTATTTATCTCCAAAGGATGTGTGAGATATCATATTGTTACAGCTGGATTATTGGTTAATTTTGAAGGGCCATCGGTAAAGTTTGAAGTGAAAGGATCTTCTGTAGCATTTGTATCACCAGGAGTGAACTTACAGTTTTGCCCAACTGATAAAAATTCTTCAGTGTCACTATCTT